TGGTCAGATCAGAAAGTGGATTTATTAGGGAATTTTAAAATGTTGATTTACAAGCCTGGAAGTCATGCAAATTAATGTAATCTTAAAAAGTAAAAAATAAATATTAAAGAGTAAAAATAAATAATAGTTTTACTCTTTAAAACATTCAATATTTAAATATAACATTTAGAAAAAAAGGTCTAAATATTTATATAATATATTACAGACATGTACTACTAATAATAAACAATTAATATTTATATTGGTATGCATGTATGCATGTATGTATTTTAGTTTTACCGTGAGATTTTAGGACATTTTAAATTTGTGATTTCCAAGCCTGGAAAAGTCATACAAATTAATATAATATAATATATAAAAAGTTATGAAAATTTCTAAAGTAAAAATAAGTTATATGGAAGTTATGTTATGTTATGTTATATTATATATATATATATATATATATATATATATATATATATATATATATATATATATGATGTATACATTTTAAACAATAGCTCTAAATAATGATAAAATTTTACAGGTAAATAAATATTAAAATGGTTGTTGTTGTTGTTATAAAAATTAAGATAATCTTAACGTTATGAAAAAAATCTGTGAAAATAAGTTTTAAAGTTTTAACATTTAAAAAATTAAGTAAAATTTTAAATATAATATTTAAAAGCAATAAAAATAGTTATAAATAAATATTACAGATATTTAAAAAAAATACAGTGTTTATTATTATTGTTAGTACTAGTTATTGTTAGTGTGTATGTATGTTTGTATTTTTTTTTAATTTTGTGTGAAATTTTTCATTTTTAAAACTGCAGAAATCTCTTCCGTAAAAATATAAAATCAAATATTTGTAAAATATTTTAGTGACTAGAAATCACTCTATAAATGCTTTATTACTTTTCTAAATTGAAATTACTTTCACATTTTTCAGTTTTTATTGTTGTTTTTGATATTGTTGTTGATTTTTAATCCAGTAATCATAAACGACTAGAAAAGTCAATGGAATTCATCAGTCATGTGATGTGGGGATGATGATGACATAATCAGATGAATGTTTATCTCATAAAGATTTTACAAATCCTTTTCTTTGTAATGATGCATGATTTGAATCATGAATCCGTTTATTTGAATGATGGTTTGTGTTTGTTCAGAATCCGGAGTCGAGGAACTCGAGGGGCAGCATCGACCGTGAGGACAGCACTCTCCAGGCCCCGGTGAGTGACTTCTAGGGCTGCCCCCGACTAAAAAAATTTCTGTTCGACTAGTAGTCGTTCATTTGAAGCATTAGTCGACTAATTGCACGTTTATTAATAAACCATTTAAATTATAGTAATGAGCCTTTAATTGCCTACATAGCCTATAAGCGCTCAAGCACACGCATAAGCTTGCCACAGCACAGCGACAGAAGAAGTAATGATTATGAATGTGTCAGGGAAAAACAGTAAGGAGGCTGCATTAACATTTTATGAATTTCTTGATAAACTAGTGCTTTCTTTGTTCTCGGTTTAAGAGATAAGGTCGGCGAAACTGACTCGTCGTGTTTGCAGCAGTGGATGTGCCTGTCTGCACTTTTGATATGGATTACATAATCTGAGAATATTTGTTTTTCATTTGAATTGGCTTATTTGAAAGCTGACATTTCGCTCTCTGTAGATATATTTCTTTTATGTCTGTAAGACAAACATGCACGGAGTTTCGGAATTTCGCGTTCAAGTTCACAGAGACCGAGACGGCAGAAAGCGCATCCTGTTTGCTTTCATTATTTTACAAAAGCACAATGTTTTGTTGTTATTGTGAGTGCACACAAATAAACATAGAGTCTTTGTATGAGCAAAAATGACGGAGTATTTTAAGAGCAAGTGAGCGCGCTACTGTTCAGCTTCCACTCTCCGCACACACACTTAAACCGCACATTTCTCTAGATTAACATTAGATTGAGCAGCCATGTAAAGTTGCTAATACTTACATATTTCAGATGATAAGCCATATTTGAGGTCGATGAATGATATAGGCGAGCGTTTGGATGTCCTGCCCGATGTACTACCACATAGACCAGCCGTTAACGATCCGCGTGACTTCGCCAATGTGGATTTTTATTTATTTATTTTCTGCGATTAAGCGACTAATAAAATTTTGGTTGACCAAGCCTCTTCTGGTTGACTAACGGTTAGTCGACTATTAGGGGGCAGCCTTAGTGACTTCTAGGGGTGGGGGAAAAAATCGATACAGCATAGTATCGAGATATTTTCCGCGGCAATACTGTATCGATATATGGACTCCAAGTATCAATCTTTTATTATACTATTTGGTAGAATAACAAAATCAATTTCTTTACAGTCCACTAGATGGTAGTTGAGTTTTTTTCTGGTGAGGTTAGCTTTGTCACCTTCAGCATGCAGCAAGTTAGTAAAATAAAGATGGCGGCATTGCGGAAAGTTATCAGGAAAGCCCCGTCTGCTTTTAAATCAGATGTAAGACTATGTTTTATTTATTTTAAATTTAACAGTGATTTACTTTCAAAAGCCCCAATTGATGAAGGGTCTGCACAACTTTTTTGTACAAGTTCAAGTTGCATTGTTCAAAATACCTGTAGTAGCACAGCAGTGCATACCTGTTTACATTTAATTAAGGTGGACTAGATTAGACCGTAATACAAATAATTGAGTTTGCCAGGTGCATACAACATTTATAACTCATGAAAGTGTTGGTCAGTTTGTCTGCTTGCCAATCCCATTTTGCACTGCAGCAATAAAATTGAAGTGAGAAACAAACTGAGAAATGTTTCTTTTATGTTGAAACACATGTTGCCAAAGTTTTCTTTTGGGGACATAATTTGAAGTTGGAAAAATGTAATAAATTGCAATATATCACATAATATCGCAATATATTTAAAACCGCAATAATATTGTATCATGAAACAAGTATCGTGATAATATCGTATCGTGGGGCCTCTGGTGATTCCCACCCCTAGTGACTTCCCATAATTCCCTGCTTGTTTTTGTTTCTTCCCTGAGGGAGATTTACAGTGCCACGGCAAGGACTGTTTCTCACTTCCTGTCAGAGTCGCAGCCAGTAATACCGATCACACTCGGCCAGAATCCTCCAAACAGATGAAAAACAGCCTCAAACACCAGCGGACAGGAATTCATTTAGAGCTGAACTCTGAGAGCCTGAGAGGAAAAATCACACAGGGAGGGGCAATTAAAGGGGCATCGTGGGGTTTCTCTGGGGCAGATCATCATCTCTGATGTGTAAAGAGTGAAAAACAGGCGTCATTTCATAAGAGCACCACAAAGCAGCCTCGTTTACAGGCCATAATTACAGCAGATCCAGCGACTCGAGGGTTCAAGCGGTGGGCAGCATGAACCCAGTGTGCTGTAAAAGCAGAGACCAGAGGAGGAGCTGTTTTAAACACTTGTTTGTGTTTTCTTTCAGATGGGGAAGCAGCACATTTATCAGCCCGTGGGTAAAGCAGGTACGAACACAGCCGGTCATGAATGCACTTTTTCAATACAAGTTATACAATGACTGATCAATGCTGTCTCTGGCACCAGAGTTTACCAGGTCATGAAAAACCTGGGAATATCATTTTGAGAGTTGTGATTTTCAGACCTAAAAAACATCACAATAGTTACTCAGATGTTTTGGAAATTTCTGGTGTTAGTTATTTAAAAAAAGTCTCAAATATATAATTGTAATATTTAATGCTAGAAATTTTATTATTAAACTTAGAATTTTAGTATAGAAATTTTGCAGTTTAATGTTAAAGTTTTAGTAATTTTTTGGGGGGGGTCATTTTTATTATTTTTTTCATGTAGCTTTAGTTATTTGTTATTTTGTTATATATATATATATATATATACATATATATATGATCATTTAATGAGGTTAAAAAATTTCTACAAATAAACATGATGATTCATAAAATATACCATGCTTTAATACAGTGATTAAAATGACATGGATATTTGTTTACAATAAGTAAATGTATAAATAAAAAATAAGACTGCCCTGTAAGAAAGACTATTTTAAGATTTTTAACTTAAAAAAAACATTTCCATATATATATATATATATATATACAGGTGCATCTCAACAAATGTGAATATCGTGACAAAGAAAATTTTTATTTTGTAACTTATTTCAAAAAGTGAAACTCGTATATTCTAGATTCATTACATGTAAAATATTTCTAAAGTTTTTTTGTTTTAGTTTTGATGATTAGAGCATACAGCTATAGCTATATATATATATATATATATATATATATATATATATATATATG